CCTAGGAGGCGGGAGACCCCTCTCTCTGCTCACTCCCTGGAAGACACTGAAGCTGACAAGACATATGGAACTACGCTAGAGCCCTGAGCGAGAGAAGCCACATAGACCTACCCTGATGCAACCAGACCTTGGAAGCTGGAGAAGCCACGTAGAGACCCCTGCCAGCACTGAGATGCTTACAACGCCACTGGATCCAAAGACTGTCTACCCACTGGCCTGTGATCGTCCTGCATTCGGCATCACTGCATGTGCTTCGTGAGTCTGAAGAGGACTTTATAGATTGGTATTGGACATATATAGGCTAATATTGGACTTATGGGCGTGGACTGGGTTGGGAAGCTTTCTTAATGTACAATTGGGATGGTTTCTTAATTGGGATGCTTTCTTAATGTACAATTACCCTTTAAATAAACCTCTCTCTTATACACATTTGAATCTATATGGATTTGTTTCTCTAGTCTACCCAGACTAATACATTGGTTCTGAGGGATTTATCTGTCCTGGAGTCACTGTGTTTCAAGCTCTTGTCTGTACCAGTATACATGCTCTGATCTAGCCTGATTTGTAAGGTAGAACTAGGGTCATGACAGTGGGAAGGGATGAAGCATTAAAGAACTAGAGGAAAGTTGTATGGTGAAATTTCTTAATATGCCTTTTCTAACCAAGGCTCTGTAACTCTCACCAAATGACTGGGCAGGACTAAGCAAACAGGCGTGTACAACATTGAGAGAAGGGATTGGCCGATTTTCATTACCACTCCCTTGACTGTAAGGGTGAACCATCTTCGAAGCCGCAGAGAGGAACTCAAGGAGCCTGGACGAACACATTCAGGATCTGTCTGAAGTGGCAGAGCCACTGAGCGCAGACGTGTCAGAGACTGTGACATGGAGACTCAGAGAAGCAGCTCGGGCTGTGGGTGCCTTCTCTGCATTTGGCCCCAGAACGCGGAAGCGTGGGACAGGCAAGAGAGGTGCAGCCCTTGGGACCACGTGGACGAGAGACTGAGGACAGGCGAGAGACCTGGCATTTGACTGAGGAGACCAATGACTATATCCTTCCAGTGTGCTGATCCTGCCTGGTGGTAACCTATTGACCTCCCTAATAAACCTCCTAATGGTGAGCATCGTTGCTAAGTTCTGTGTGGCTAGTGCCATGAATTCCCGAACCCAGCAGAGATGCAGAGTGGCATGGAAGGAAGGGACAACGTCAGAACAGGTAAAGGCAGCTGGACTGTGGAGCTTTGTCTGACTACTGCCTCACGGCGATCAGGAAGCCAGAGGTCAGACATCTTCACTTTCGTGCTGTTTACCGCAGACACGCGCGAGAATCAGGCAAGGATGTCACTCTCGGGGGTCTGAGTACACCACACTCAGAGCCTGAGGCAGTGCAACAAAGTACAAGGTAGAAGCCAAGGGACAGAAAGCCAAGGTACCATCTGTGCTCAGAAAAGGTGGCCGCCTTCAAATGCAATGACCCCACACAATGCTGCTGACCTGGTACAGGCCCCAGAAATCTTCTAGAAAGAAACCTGGTCCTGCATTGTGGTCCTGGCTACCTCCCTCTGAGCCCCAGCACCCAAGGAAGACAGCAGTGCTATCAGTCAGGTCTCACAATGACACACCTGCTCTTTCCAAAACCCCAACCAAACTCTAAGCCACTGAACCGAGTCCGTCCCACAGCAATCCTACAGGACAGAGCAGAACCAGAGGAGACTAACTCTTTATGGGGCTGGAAAGCTTCATCTTTCTCCGAGAGTGGCCGGTGGTTTAGAACTGCTAACTTTGCAATTAGCAGCCTGTGTAACCACCTCACCAGAGAGGTTCTACTGTTGCCTTCAGAACAGTGTGATGCAAGTACTGCGGACAGGCAGCTTTCATGTACTGGCTCTCATAGCTGACGTGGGCGCACCCAGGAGCCTCTGGTAGCCGTGCCCCCCACTGGTGTCCCCCACTGACTAGGTCCATGCTAGCGGCCAAGTGCATGGTGCCTGGATACACAAACACCATGGGGAAGGTGCCTACCTACCTTGTCTGCGCAGCTGGTGTTCTTGGCGGCTCCCTCGGGCCTCTGCACTGGTGAGTGCTGCGCAGAGCTGCTGCAGCTTTTCCTGGTTCTGCAGGTGTGTCATGCGCAGCTGGGCACGCAGGGCCTGAATCTCAGACAGCAGGCTCCTCCGGTCAGACAGGCAGAGTGATTCTGCAGACATGTCCTGCAGGGCACCCTGCTGACAGAGGACAAGGAGGTAAAGAGACAGGTACCATGGGTAAGAAGGGGGGTGACTCGGGAGAAAGGAGGCTGAGCAGGAGCCCACCTGTCCCAAACCCAAGTTCTTCATGGAACAAGGACCACACCTTGCTGAGCACTGAGGACCAGGGGCAGGATGAGCAACAAAGCCCCACATGCAGCAGTCACCTACATCCCTGGACCCGCCAGCTTGCCAGCCAAGCCACTTATACCAGCCACAATGCTGCCCAAGTCATGGATACAAGGAGACCACCTCCCATGCCTGGGTGGACTGGTAGGAAGAGGGATCTCACATGGACAGTCGGTTCTGACACACTGTGGGTCTATTCCCTGAGCTCTGGGGAAGGCTCAGTGGTCCTCGTGGAGGGAGGTGGGGATGAGGCATGCACTGCTTCCCATGTGTGCACCCAGTCACCCCAAGCAGTGAGTGCACAGCGGACATTGCCACAAGCAAAGTTGAGTCATAATGCGAAGGCAAACATGCACCTAAGAGGTGTACCCTCCCCCACTCCCCAAGATCCCCATACCTGCTCCCAGACAACCTTTTCCAGCTTCTCAAGCAGGGAGCTGCTGTCCCCTGGCTCATAGTTGCCGAGTCGGGACTGCAGCTCGATGCCTAGAGCATGCCGCTCCTTCTCGAACGCCTCCTGCAAGGCTCGCAGTAACACTCCTCTCCAGTCCACACACACGTCCGGTTTCTGAAACGGAGGCATCGTCCTTCTCTCACACTGTGGCCTATGGGCAGAGCCACTGAGAGAGAGGAGACCCACTCTTCCAGGGAGCCCACACTGCACCCTCAAAGTCCTAAGGAAGGGCCCAACTGCCAACTGATCATAATGAGGGGGCACTATGGGCCCTCAAAGTGCCCTCAGGATGCCAATGTGAAGCAGTGCTTGAGGGCAGCAGGTATAGGTGAGTGGGCTGCAGCCCTCCGCACAGAACCACCAGCAAGGGGCAAGTGGCAGCACACAAGGCCCAACAAGGAGTTTAGGGAATGCCTGGACTTAGAGAGCCCTGACTGGAGGGTCACAGTTAGTCATACCCATTGCATGTTATATCTTCTGAGGCAGGGACAGGAGCCAGGCTTCATCTGCAATAGGGCCAATGCCCAGCAATGAGTTCCTCTTGGTGCCTACTTACCCTTCTCTCATGTCACCCACCCGAGAGCCCATTCCCAGGACCATTGCCCATCCCAGGGCCCCACTATTTGACCAAGACCACCAGCTATACTCAGTACGCTCCTGGAAAGAGGAGGGAGCATGTGCTACAGCAGAATCACTTTTCCCCATAACGTGGCCTGGCACCAGCAGCACTGCTCAGCACCTAAGGGAGTCCGCTGCCACTGCTCTGCCCTACCTTCTCTCCTTTCTGGGGTGCTCCGAGGGCCGGCAGTGCCTCCATCAGGCCCGGCCCCTCCCCCGGAACATGCTCCCGCATGGTGCATGGCTCTCCCCTGCCCATCGTGCTGGGAGGGCCCCGGTGCTCAGAAAGGGCCAGAATGTGATGGCTTTCATCAGACACCATTTTCAGCATCGCCTGCAATAAAGTGTCAGGTCAAAGAGGATAGTTGGCCTCAGCCCTGGGGGTGTAGAGACCCTCCAACCACCTACCCAGCAGTGAAGAGCAGGACCCTTGCCCACTGGGGGCAATGCAGCCTTCCCCATACTTTTCTAATAGCCAGTGGGCACAGCATTCACTTGTCCAGTCGTCACCCCTGGCAGGCACTGAGTTTGTTTCGGCCTTTGTGCTACTGAGTAGTACTGTGATGAGCTTAGGTTTGCATAGGTCAGCTGGTGCCATTTTTATGAATTCCCTTGGGTATATACCTGGTGGTGGATTGTGGCAACTCTACCTTTAGTTGTTTTTTTTTTAGGAATTGCCAAGTATTTTCCAAAACAGTTGTCTTATTTTGTATTCTCACCAGCAGTGGATGAGGACACATCCCCTCTGTTATTTTGTGGTTTTGTCCCCTTTTTTCTCATCTTGACCACCCTGTTGCTGCTGTTAGGTGCCGTCTCACAGCAACAGAAAGCGGGCCGACACACTCCTCTCTCATCCTCCATCTAGGAGCAGAGAGGACAGGAGAGCCCCCCAGGGTCATGCCAGCGCTGAAACTACTCACAAATGATTGTCATTATTGTACCCATCAGAACTGATAGGGCCAGGAACATGGAATAATAAGCAATGAAGACTTGTATCCAAGTGAGGGGTCTGGGCAGGCAAGTGACCCAGGTCCAACCAGTGAGAGAGGGGGCCCTCTGGTGAGCAGGCATCATTGTGTACCAGGCTGTACTCTCTGTCAGGCTTTTGGAGGTGCTGCAACCACAAGGAACAGTGGCAGGGACACACTGATGGTCGCCAGCCCAGGAGCACACCCAAGTCATGCTGGGACTATCTGGGGCGCCAAACAAGAGCCTCTCGAGCATGTGTCCACCAAGCCAGGGCTAAAGAGTAGTTGGTACTCTAATCACTAAATGGGCAAATTTCACTTTGGGGAAGGGGTGGGGGGAGGGAAGAAATTTATTAAATGTCGGTTCTTTTCTAAAACATGCATTTGTGCTTCTGGGCTGGGTTTCTCCACACACTACCCAGTGTTTGCCACCTTCTGCCTCAAAGGGGAGACCATGACCACCTGCAGAGTGGTGCTGACAGAGGACAGGTCCACACCTCAAACCCACATCAATACACGCCTCACTGTCATCTCTTAAGAGCCTAAAGGATGAAACAAAAAAATACAATCACTTCCCAAAATGTTTTACTCCCTGAATTAAATTCGGAAATAATGCTAGTTTGCCTCCCTTATAATTCATTAAAAAATGTGTATGCATGGGACAACTGTGCATCCTGCTGTATGACAGACTCCACAAGGTGGAGCAGGCCCTGGCTCCAGGACTGTGGTGCCCCGTCAGGGTCCTTGCTCCTAAGTCAGCCTGGAGCTCTTCATGACAGTTACTTTCCCTCTTAAAGACTTCTGAGGCAGGAAATGAAAACCAATACTAGGTCACTGGCTAAATGACCGATACTATCAACAGAATTACCTTATGCCCCATGGAGATGATGTATAATGTCCAATAAAATGGTAATGCTGTCTCTAAAATATATTATATAAAAAATATATAAATGATAGATACATGAACACATTGATGACTTACATTTAATCTGAGCCCTAATCTGAGAACAGTTAGTTCTTATGACATGGCCCTACTCAATATGGAGAGATCACTGGTAATATAGGGTGCCATAGCAAAGTGTGCTGAAGAAATGAGATGGTGCCCAACTATTAGAAAGAAAAGCACCTGAGGTCTTTAAAGGCATATAGCCATCTAAGTGAGACAGCAACTCAGTCCACAAGGAGAAAGCACAGCAACCTGTGGGATCCAAGGATTATAAATAATAAAATCCAAATCCGGAGGAGAAAAGTGTATCAGAGCTTGTATTCTCTACAATCAGTTTGCAGTGGACTATAGCTGACAGTGGAAGTCCAAAGTCCATGTGCAGGATCCCCCACACACCCCCAATGGATAACGTCTCTGGTGAATCCCCTATGTTCAGGGATGTGGATACCCGTTCTATCAGACGGAAAACAGTAAAGTCGAAAATGGCAGATGCAGTTAAGGTAAAATGTAACATCTTATCATCTCATCTTCCTTTTGACTCAGTTTAAATTTGTTCCAGTTTGTAATATTTTCTGTTTTCTTTTAACTAAGGATGTTCTCTGTTTTATTTTAACATTGTTGTTAAGGTCTGTTTCTTGAATTTGTTTTGTATGTTTTCTTTATATGAACCCAGAATAGGTAAATCTATAAAGACAGCAACTGGATTAATCATTACCTAGAGACATGGCAAGGGAGTTTGGGGGGAAATGGGGAGCTAACACCAATAACTATGAAAAAGAAGAAATATTTCAAAATTGATTATGATGATTATACAACTCTTCTTAATACGACTGAACTACTGAATTATATGATATGTGAATATATATGTATGCAAAAAAAAACAAACAACTGCTGAAAGTTAAAACAAAGCAAGACAAAAAACAGTGCTGGCTAGTGGAACCTCTGAATCAAGAGTGTAACAGTTACATATTGACTTGGGTTCCCCCAAAAGACAAATGCTTCCATCACTGTACTGGTGAACAGGCTTTCTACGGAAAATAGTGCCCTTCTTTGTAGATGTCATTAGCTGACATAAAGTTCATACTGGTAGAGTGTAGGTTCTAATCCTACATGAGATATACTTATTGAAAAAGCACATTCATTATTAAACAAATCACAGGTTTGCGAAGATACACCTATAAGCCAAGAAATGGCTACCAGATGCTAGAAGAGAGGAGGAAGGATCTTCCTCTAGGGCAGTGGTTCTCAACCTTCCTAATGCCACGACCCTTAATACAGTTCCTCATGCTGTGGTGACCCCCAACCATAAAATTATTTTCGTTGCTACTTCATAAGTGTAATTTTGCTACTGTTAGGAATCGAGTGACCCCTGTGAAAGGGTCGTGTGACACTGCCCAAAAGGGTCGCGACCCACAGGTTGAGAGCCGCTGCTGTAAAGCCTCACAAGTGCATGAGCCTGAATTCTGAGACAATAAATCTCTGCTCCTTCGAGCCGCTCACTGGCGATCTCTCCCTACAGCAGCTGCAGGGCATTCAGACAGGGGCACCTATGTGACACAATGTTGGGTTCGAGGGTTTTCTGGATCTCAAAGATGCACCCAAAGACTCACACTGCTTTTTATCATCCATTACCTGCACTTGCTTCGCATGAACCTCCCTCTCCTTCATTGCTACCGGTAACAGTTGATGCCTTCCAGACTTCTGAGAAGAAGCTGCGAGACTATCAAGGGGAGCTTCAGTTCGTTCTGAATCTTCGTTTAGTCTCTCTCCCAAACCTGAGCCGTCACCTAAAAACAAATGCCACAAAATTAGGGTCTAAAGTCTTTACAAGGACACCCCCCCCCAGGCAAAGGCGAAGATACCTGGGGTTGGGGTTCAGAAATACACACTCTCTGAGTTCTGGGGCTGTGGTGCTGCAGAAAGAATTTTCCTAAGGAAAATTACACAGACATGGAGGTGCAACTCTTCCCCTCCAGCACAGGTCCAATATGCCAGCACTGCAGAAGAGGAGAAACACCAGGCTCGCAGCCGTCAGGACTTCCCACCAACAAGAGGTGGGAGGGCAAGTAGGTGAGCAGGTTTGACTAGAAGGTGAGGTTGCCTGATCTAAAGTGTGTGTGTGTGTGTGTGTGTGTTGGGGTGGGGGTGGGAGTGGACACGACCCTGGAAGAGCCTGAAATTAGAAAGTGTCAGATACCTCTTGAGGAATGTTTGAAAACAGAGAATTCAAAGTCTATGGGAAGTGTGTAGGTCATTGGCACATTTCTCTAAGCCTTCCCATCCACTGACTTCCTATAAACACTCAGAGTTTCCTTTTTGGGCAAGGAGAGCTAGAAAGATTGGCCTGGAGCATGCAGCTTAGCAAAGGAGGGAGCAGCATTAGTGAGAAACAGGACAAGACCTTCTAGTTTCTCCTCTTGATTAACAATCCACATTCTGGCAGGTTGGCAGGTTTACATCCTGGCAGAAAAGGAACCTCAGAAAGCCCAGCGTACTGATGGTGGGGTTCACGGTGCTACCAGTGGCCCTCCATACTGTGCGCTCAGAGTCCGGAGCACCATCTGCAGCCAAGCCCTCAGGCATGTGAAGAAAATGCCCTGACACCAGAGACAAGAGCAAAACAAGGGAACATGGGAAAGAAATTGGGTTCATGGGACAAACAGAGGGAGAAAAAACACTATGCTATCTTCAGAGAAGGACCAAACTCAAAGGAAGAATGGGCATATTTTCCATGAAAGAACCGGGAGCTACAAAAGGAATGGTCAGAGAAGAAGGAATGCTTAGAATTTAAAAATGAGAGCAGAAATAAAAAAACAATCAGTCCAAAGGTCAGGAAGTTCTAAAAGTCTCTTAGAAATGAGAATATAGAAGAAAGCAGAAAAATACTCAGTTCCGGAGTTTAATATATGATTAGTGAGGATTTTCTCACGAGAGAGAGAGAAAACTATAGGAGAACTTGTCACAGTAAAGTACAAGATGATTCTTGGAGCTATGGACTCGTAGAGCTGCAGTTGCTCAGTGAAGACAATGGGCAGGTGGGGGGCAGGTGAGAGGGAGGACGGATGTGAACAGGACATGGCCGGGACATAGGTCAGGCCTCCCACACTGCACAGAGCTAGTTTCTGGCCCCAGCACCAGGATCAGGCCAAAACTCGCAGTATATATATGAGGAAACCAAGGAGAAGTTGAAATATGAAAGTTCTCCCTAAAATAAGCACTGCTGTGCACCTGTCCTCCAAGAGCCCAGAAAACAAGCTTGTAGCGAAAAGAGTCTCAGTCAAGAGGACACAGCTTGTCATTCGGAAGTGAAGGCCGCGTGTGGGAGGGGCTTTCCAGAGGGTTCTGAGCAGCCAGTGAACATCCAACTTGAGATCGATAAAATGGTTGGACAAGAATGAAAATGTAACCTATGCATGACACAAGCCTGCTATAACTACAAAGCACATGCTTTGTTGGAATATCAATGCTTCACAGATTTGACAGGAGACAGGCCTCTCTTAGGAGATAAGAATAAATGTATATGGATTTAACAGCTCAGTTCAAACATGCTATTTCAGTAGCAGGTGTGTGTTGAGTGATTCTGAAGGGCTCTCAGAGCATCTAGGTGTAAGTCACCTGGAGCGAGAATTTAGATAACATAACAAATAGAAGTTGGTTGAAAACAGCCTCTTTTAAAGTGGACTTGTACCTGCATGCTGTGATTAAAAAAAAAAAGAGGGTAAATTTCTCTAAGCTGGCCTCAAGACATAAATTGTCCAATTTCTGACCTTTAAGAAAAGATGCAGCATGCTAATTTTTGTTAGATATAACACCAGCTGGTCCTTAGCCAGACAAGATCACATACATGGGTGGTTCAAAGAGTTCATGAAAAAAATCTGTTAACTTAAAAAAAAAAGTTTTATGGACATAGAAATAACATATCAGGAAGGCTCTAAGATAGATGTGGTGGTGATTGTACAACTACCCTTAATGTGATTATGTGCCAATCAAACTACTGGGAAATAAACAAATGGATGGATAGACAGATAGATAGATAGATAGATAGATAGATAGATAGATAGATAGATAGATAGATAGATAGATAAAGAGCATTGACAAGCACAGATGTCAGTTTGAGGACTCAGGTGTAACTGACTCAAGCCAGGGAATGTTGAATCACCTCACACGCATGTGAAAGTTGGGTACTGAATAAGGAACGCTGAGGAAAAGTCAATGCACTTGAATTACTATGCTGATAAAATATATCAAAAGTACCACGGACTGCCTACAGCACACCCTCTCCACCCCCCCAAAAAAACTACCTATCATATACTTCAATAGTTCAGTTATATTAAAGAGTTGTACAATCATCAGTTCTAGAACATTTTCTTCCTTCTTGAACTCATTGTTATTAGCTGCCCATTTCCATCCAACTTCTTCTTTCATGTGCCTAATAAGTCTTAATCCAATTAGTTACTGTCTCTATATATTTGCCTATCCTGAATTTCATATAACGGAAAGCATAAAACAAAAAACAGCGCGCGCACACACACACACACACACACACACACACACACCAATAATAGCAAAACAAACCAGAGGAAAACCTCAATGGAAAACAAGGCAGGAAATATTAAAAACTAAGAACAAATTTTAAATGGGTCAAAAGGAAGCTCAAATGATAAGGTGTTAGATTTTAACCTAACTGGCTCTGCAGCAATCCATTTTCCAGTGCACTCTGCATGACAGCAAGGCTACTCACATCCCTGGGCTGTGGTCTGAGGGGATTCACCAGGGGCTTCCTCCATGTATATTTCCCCTCCATTTTTTCTTAATATGAAACAACTTTAAAATCAGTCAAAAAAGGCGAACAAACGGCCATCTAGCTCAGAAGCAACAAAGCCCACATGGAAGAAGCACACCAGCCTGTGTGATCACGAGGTGCAGAAGGGATCAGTTATCAGGCATCAAAGAACAAAAATTCACATCAATGTGTGCTCACTTCCCAGATATGATCTCTGAAGACAAATGTGTGCATAAGCATATGTGGTGAAGAAAGCTGATGGTGCCCGGCGATCAAAAGATAGAGCATCTGGTGTCTTAAAGGCTTGAAGGTAAACAAGCGGCCATCTAGCTCAGAAGCAACAAAGCCCACATGGAAGAAGCACACCAGCCTGTATGATTGCAAGGTGTCGAAGGGATCAGGATCAGACATCAAAGAACAAAACATCATATCATGTAAACGAGGGGGAGTGCGGAGTAGGGACCCAAAGCCCATCTGTAGGCAACTGGTCATCCCTTACAGAAGGGTCTCAGGAAGGAGAAGAGCCAGTCAGGGTGCAGTGTAGCAAAGATGAAACATGCAACTTTCCTCTAGTTCCTAAATGCCTGCCCCCTTTTCCCCCATTATCATGATCCCAATTCTACCTTACCTAGACCAGAGGATGTACATTGGTACAGAAAGGAACTGGAAACACAGGGAATCCAGGATGGATGATCCCTTCAGGGCCAGTGGTGAGAGTGGTGATACAGGGAGGGTGGAGGGAGGGTGGGGTGGAAAGGGGGGAACCAATTACAGGGATCTACATATAACCTCCTCCCTGAGGGACAGACAACAGAAAAGTGGGTGAAGTAAGACGTCAGACAGTGTAAGCTATGACAAAATAATAATTTATAAATTATCAAGGATTCATGAGGGAGGGGGCGCAGGAAGGGGGGGAATGAGGAGCTGATGCCAGGGACTTAAGTGGAGAGCAAATATTTTGAGAATGATGAGGGCAACAAATGTACAAATGTGCTTTACACAATTGATGTATGTATGGATTGTGCTAAGAGTTGTATGAGACCCTAATAAAAATTTTTTTAAATGAGTTAAAAAGGAGATCAAATGATAAGGTATTAAATTAACATTTTGGCCTAACTACATTTGTCATAAATCAAATTTACAATGTCCAATAGCAAGGCTACTCGCATCCCTCTACTATAGTCAGAGGGGATTCACAGGAGGTTAAATACATGTAGGGACCCTGCAGATAAGTATTGGGCTTCCGTTATTTTTTAATCCAGTTTTTGTAAGAAATTTTGAAGCCGTCAGGTATAAAGACTGAATGTCTATTCACTCAACAGGAGGAGGTAGAGAAAAAATCTCTCTCTCCAGACTGACTTGCTCTGAAAACACCCCATGCCATAGAAGAACAGAGAGACTTTGACCACCAACCTTGTCCCTTGTCCCCCGGCTCCAGGGACCTCCGCCGCGGAGAGCAAGCTAGGGTCATCAAGCCTTCCTCCAAGACCGCTCATTAGAGGTAAAAGCCCAAACTGAAGATTTGGATAACCGAACTTTTTGGACAACCTATCCAAATATAACCATTGGATGACCTTATATTGTTCTCACTTTCTGATCCTAATGGAACATCTTGTCTTAACTGTGTGATGTGCCATAATTACCAGACAATAAACCACATGAGTTTACGCATGATATCTTGCACATTGCTCTATATACTTAAAAAAAAAAAGACAACCTCATGGGACAAGGACATTTTAGATGAAATAAACACTAGAACAGATTCTGAGAGTTAGAAACAGGTTCTCTGCAGAGAATGGCCATCAAGAACAGGGCATGAACAAAGACCACTGAGGCTGCAAAAACCTTGCATAATCATTCAACTTGAAAACGGTGTTATGAGTTGAAATATATGAAAATGAAGATGCTGCTTGCTCTGTTTGGCAAACACAATAAAATTCCCAATGAACTACATAGATTTCACTGTGTTGTGTTTTCCAAAGCACTGACTGAACTCACCATGATCTTTAAAATCAAAATGATTCAGAAAGTGATGAACTTATAAAGAGAAACAAGTAACTATAGGAAAAAAAGATATGGAGAATGACCATTTGGCAACCACTGTAGGACAACTGGCTCAGCTGGATTACCAATAGATGTTGAAACAGAGGCACACATTAGACTAAGAGAATACTATAGCTCTCAAATGGCCTGCCCATAGTGTACTTATCCACTGAAAAAAGAGATAAGAAATTGGGGGTTAGGGGGAGAAAAAAAAGGGGGGAGTTGGGGGGAGGAAAAAAAAGATAAGAAATCATTAAAACCTGGCAGACCCCACTGCAGCCGCCAGGTGATCAGAGCTGGCAACCCAGCCCAGGGCAGGGTCTTCTGAGCCCCATTTACATGAGAAGAAGTCAATTGTTGTTTCCTTCCTGTTTGTGTTTTGTTTGATTTTCTGTGTATGAAATTCAGGATTGGTAGATCTACAGAAACTAACTGGAATGTTAACTTCCTGGAGGCGTGGCAGGGAAGGATGGGGGGAATGAGGAACTAACAACAAATACGAGAAGATGATGTTCTGAAACTGATTGTGGTGATGATAGCACAGATCTTCTTAATGTGATTGGACGATTAAACTGTATGATATGTGAAGTATATGCCAGTAAAAGTATTACAAAAAAGGGACTTGTGGACTGGTGCAGCTGAAAGGCCGTGCTGCACAGTGACCCTCTCCACAGACCAAGCAGCTGTTTCAGTCTGGAGGCAATAGATGAGCAGGCTAGTAGAACCAGTAGGACCACGCTGGGGCAGGCATGAATAGGAGCCGCTCCACCCTTGTTGGCCCCCAAAATAGGCCCCTCCTCACTATCAGCCTTAGGCCCAGGAACTGCTCCCCTTATCTGCCAGAAACATGTCCAAACTCTGGACACAACGCATCATCTGAGATGTTCTTTCTATAAAAACGTCATTGGAACAATTGGCAAAATCTGAGTCAGGTCAGTAGATGAGATAGATACTAGCTCTGTACCAGTGCCAACTCCCCTGTCCTAAGCGCTGTGCTGTGACCTCTGCTTCAGGAAAAACATGTTCTGCGTTTGCTTACACTCAAATGGTTCACAGAGAAAGTGAGAAACTATGTTAAAATGTTACCATTTGGGAAATCCAGGGAAAGGAGATACAAGAATTCTTTGTAGCAAGGAAGGAATGAGTACAGCAGAATAGCACCGAAAAAACACACACAACATTCCTCTAGTTTTAATGCTTCCCCCACCCCACCGCTATCATGTCCCCAGTTTTACCCTACAAATCCAGCTAGACAAGAGCTGATACAGTTAAGAGCTCTCAACTCATGGAATCCAGGACAGACAAACCCCTCAGGAACAGTAATGGGAGGTAGAGGGAAGGTGGGGGAGATGGGGGAGAAAGGGAGAACCAATCACAATGATAACAGAAATGTGGGTGAAGAAAGACAGCAAACTGTATAAGATATGAAAATAATAATAATTTATAATTTGTCAATGCCTCACAAGGGTGGAAGGGTCGGGGAGGGAGGGAAAAAAGGGAGCTGATAGCAAGGTCTCAATAGAAAGTAAATGTCTAGAAAAGAATGAGGGCAACATATGTACAAACATGCCTGATTCAATTGATATATGGATTGTGATAAGAGTTGTACAAGCCCCCAATAAAATGACTTAAAAAATATGTACAAATATGCTTGATACAAATGATGTATGGATTTTTATAACAGCTGTTAGAGCCCCCAATAAAATGTATTTATAAAGAAGTCTTTAAAAACAATTCTTTGTAGCATTCTATACTCCCAAATTGTCAAAGTAAAAGTTTATCCTAAAAAGATAATGACTCACTTTTTTCACTTCCACCACTTTTTCCTTCTAACTCAAGAGGAGATGATCTTAAGTTTTCTTGAGAACCAAAAGACGTTACAATAAAATCTTCGACATCTTTCTCCTGTTCAAAGAGGCAGACTGTTAAGTGGTCACAAAATAATAACTTGTCACGGAGCTAAAGTTGCAAATGGAAATCTTTTGAGTCAGTGGTTCTCAACCTGTGGGTTGCGACCCCTTTGGGGGTCAAATGACCCGATTCATAACAGTACCAAAAATTACAGTTATGAAGTAGCAACGAAAATAATTTTATGGTTGGGGGTCACCACAACATGAGGAACTGTATTAAAGTGTCGCAACATTAGGAAGGTTGAGAGCCACTGTTTTAAGTCCTGAAGTTACCATCTCCCAGCACAGAACCGGCAAGAAAGAATTCAGACTTGCAAGCACATTAAGGTCATATGTTTCTAATAATATAATTACTGAGTTTTACGCACAGCTCTTGAAACATTTTAAAATATCCACAAGCTAACTTTTCAGGCACTAATAATTTACATAAAATGACAATCTATGGAAACCCAAAATAACATTACAAATAACCTAAATTGTTTTTCATCTTACTCAAAACCAAACCCACTTCCATCAAGTTGATTCCAATGAACAGTGGCCCCATAGGGCAGAGCAGCTCGGCTCCACTGGGTTCCTGAGGCTATAAATCTTCATAGAAATAGAAAGTCTCCTCTTCCTCCTACCAGAGTGGCTGGTAGGTTTGAACACTGCACCTTGTGGCTAGCAGGCAATATTTATAACCCACCACACCACCAGGGCTCCTTATCTTATCCAAGATACTTAAGATCTTAAGACTGCTATGTTAGAAAAGCTTGCTATAACTCAACGATGTTGTTTTAAAAATTAACTCGTAAAATACGTGGTTTACTAAATGGCTACTACTAAGCATAAAGCATATTCTAGACAAAGAGCCTTTGTCAGGTGCAGTGAAATGTGGTCGTTAGTACGATGTGAAGTCAGTGTCGGCCCAGAAGGCAGGCCTGAGGTGAACCCAGTAGGGCCCATCCACCTCACGATTCCAGTACCAGTGAAATGACCTCACTGTTCTGATTTCATAGACTTGCAGAGTTAACACTCCTACACATAGTGCTGACCACAGGACCTGGACTGTTCTGAGGAAATGTCACTACTCCACCAGTGACGAACCAACAATGCACTACTGTGACATGGGGCAGTTTTCCAGGAACACCCTGTACCTCCACCCACAGGAGGGATGACACAAGGAAGGGCAAAGAAGAGGGGTTCCTTACCGCAGCCGTCCTCTCTACATGGTGGTGGGCTGTGGGGAGAGATGTGTCCAAAGCATGGGGATACCCTGTCCAGGGCAAGGCACTCCCCTTGGCTGTGGGTGCCGGGTAACAAAGGAGGCCAGAGCTATCTGCCTGGAGCACTGTGGAGTCTAGGCTGCACAGGCCCATGGCATCTGAGCAGGGTGTCAGAAGGCTAGGTGGGGGCTCCAGGCTGGAGTCCCTCCTGACAATCTCAGGTGAGCCCCAGGAAGACAGGTCCATTGTTTGCACCGGGCTCCTGAAGGGTGCCACACCCTTGGAGCGGTTGTGCAAACCAGCTTTTAAAGAGAACGGTGAGCTTTGTGCTTCTATTTTTTCATGAATGAGAACTGAAGTTCCAGTTTGTGTCGAAGGATCTGGATGTTCAATAACTTCCATTAGATCCCACGTGGGCCTGTGGGTATCAGATGTGTCAGCGGGAGGAGATCTGTCACTTGACTCATCGCTTTGAGAAACGTCATTGGAGCTGCTTTCTAGAGCAGGTGCCAAGTGTGCTGATGGTTGTACACATGTGGAACTTTCTGGACCCGTATCTTGAACAGTCATGGAACGGACCAGAGAAGCCAATCTCTTCTGAAGTTGTTTCACCTGAGTTAACAGGTCTACTTTCCGTGGCTGACCCTGATCTGCTCGTGGTTTCTCCTGACCCTGCAGGTAAGAAAGAAAGCACACACAAGCTGAATAAAACAGCGCACAGACTCCTGAACACGAAGATGGCCTCACAAAGAGCCGCAAGAGTCTGCGATGAGCAGTTACATCCTAATAACTCTTCAATATTTCAAATTATTTAATTCCACAAATTAAATTCCCAAATCAAGCTGAAAGCTGTATGCTTAAAAGGTAATTGCCATAGTTGCATCTTAATTTTCTAGGGACACATACTTTTTTGGTTAGAGATAAATTCAACGGTCTATACTACAGCACTGGAAAGACACAAAACTATGGTTTATATTACAAATTTGGAATTTCTTCTCCGTATGTTGTAAAATTTTGGTAATGGCTCACAGTGGTGTGACGGTTGGGCTTTCTCTTCAGACGGAAAGGTGATCGATCCCATGAGGAGAGGAAGAGGACAACTCCGCTGCACAGAATTCTGAAATGACTTTTCTGTGTGGAATGCTCCTCACAACCAAAAATAACCCCAAACGCACTGCCATCAAGTCTATTCCAGCTCAGAGACCCAGAGGACACGGTGGGGCTGCCCTGGTGGCTTCTGAGGCTGTGAATCTGTACAGGAGCAGACAGCCTCATCTTGCTCCTACAGAGGCTCAACGCAGAGCCCACCATGCCACCAGGGGCTCTGACATGTCACAAGGCGATGGATGGAATCAACATGTGGCACCGGCACCTCCTCTCAAAGTTGCCAGTCTGGCCAGTTGCTACGTGGACTTTGGGAGTCAGACCTTGAGGACTGAAAATTATTTGCATGGGTGGTCGACTTTGTGGACTGTAGCCTCGGGGTAAGATTGCATCCTGTGGCCTTCTCTGTGGCTAGGCAGGCTGCTTAGCCTGGGAAAAAAAACTGTATTGGGAGAAATTTAGAGCCAAAAGTGATTTGGCAGCAAATTTGGGCAAACAAGTAAACCAGTGATATGTGTGCCAACTGGGAGATAATCTCAAAGAGGTGTATCCATGGGTGAGGGGTCCCAGCCTGATCCTACAGTCCTGAGCCCTGGAGCCGTTAAGTCCTATTCATAAAGGACAAGTGATTGGCTACTCACTTGCTAAAAGGTGATTTGACCACAGCAAAAAAGTGCTTCCTAGAGCTTCTTAAATAATGCATGTGTGTTTCAAATGACATATGGCCAGATGATGCGACAGCATCACATGATAGTCTGGGGGCACCTAACTCCAAATGCACCCACTGCTCCCACCAGAAGGATGGGTTAGCCAGCTCTGTGAGCCCTTCCTGTGTCGCACAAAGTACCTTGTCCCGTCCCAGCCGGCTGCAGCCATCCTCTCTGCTCAGGCGCACCTCAGGCCTCACCAGGAAGAGCTCAGATGCCAGCTGCTTCTGGCAGGCAGCCAGCACGGACATCACGCTCTCCTGCCCCAGCTGACCTGCACCTCCTGGAGCCTCACCGGCAGGGGCAGGCTGCCGACGGTCCTTCCCAGGAATCTGTATTATTGGGGAGAGCAGGGGCAGAAGTGAGACACACTGGAATTAGAGGTGAGCCTGCCTGGTAGCTGGTGTGCAATAAGGTAGTTTGGGGACTGCCTAGACAGACTGCACTGACCACAGCACCCAGAGGTCAGAGGGGGTGACCATGGATTCCTTAGAGAACACCCCTCCCCATGAGATCCCAGAATACACTGGCCACAGAACTCTTGAGGTCTGACAGGATGACCTGAGCTACCCCAGAACACAACACCCACAGAAACCCAGAAGTCAAAGGGTGGGCATCAGGCCACCCTTTTCCAAAGCGGACAGAGTTCTGAGCATGTGGCACAACAGGAGCCATGTCCTTTGGTAGCACCCAGGCCCTGTGGTACCTCCTTGAAGGCAGGCTAGCACTAGGATGGCCCAAGGCCAACTGGGGGACGAAAACGAGAAGCCGGGACAGGCTGCTGTGGCACAAGGACACTCACAGATCTGATCCAGGGAGGTGCACAAAGGCAGGCCTCCGGCTCGGAGTCAGGGGGGGGGCAGGGAAACCTGGGCAGTGGGCTTGGCAGCGCTGACCCTTTCTATGGACCAGAGGACAGTCCTCAGGAGCTGACACCACGCACAGCTGTGGCAGTGAAGTGACACATAGTAAGACTAGAGCCATGGACACCGGCTGGGGGCCTCTACTCACAGACACCCACTGACAAAGAAATGAAGTTAAAGTAGTAAAGTAAGGAAAAACCCAGTCTCCCTCATCGAACCCTGTCCTCTGCCTTCCACCACATCCCAGGAAGGAGAAGCCTACCTGAGGGTCTCCAACATGGGGCACCAGACGCGCCAGCCTGCTGCCCTCATCCTGGTCTGAATCTTCACCACGCCCGGTCTCTACAGCCACCACACCCCTGGTGGTCCTGCATCCAGTGCTGCCCTCTCCAAGGATCTGGTGCCGGCCCAGCTCCCGCTGGCACCGCAAGAACCGCTGGCTCAGTGCCTGCAGCTGGCGGCCGAGACGCGCGCACTGCGTCCGCAGCACCTGCAGCTCCGGGGGCTCGGTTGCCTCAGTCCAGGACTGCCGCTCCAGGGCACGTCGGAACCCAGACACAGCAGCCAGCACAGCCTCCAGCTCTGCGAGACGGGCTGCCCTCTGCTTGCTCAATGCATTGATTTCTAGATCTTTCTTCGAAATCACTGCTTCCTTTTCTCTCAAAGTGTCTTCGAACTCTGCCAGGCGGGAGGCCAGTGCCTCCAGGGAGGACTCCTTAAGGGCCACGCTGTGCCTCAGCCCCGCCAGTTGGTGAGCAGCAGCACCCTCAGCAGCCCGCAGGCTCTGCCCTAGTGCCTCCAGGGCCTGGCGATGGTCACGCTCCTGCTCCTCCAGCAGCCGGCCCAGGGCCTCCTTGCCCATGAGCGCTGCCTCCAGCTCCGCCTGCAGCCCCTGCACGTGGGACCCTGGCTCCTTCAGGTCCTCAGCCACCTCCTCATGGACACCAAGCAGCCCTTGCTCCAGCTCAGTCTGAAGGCTTTCAGCTGCACTAGCTCGGATTTCCAGAGCCACAGGTCCCCGAGGAGAGAGCTCCTTTTGCAATTTCTCAATGACCTCGTGGAGCTGCTCAATTTCCTCTGCTTTCTCCCTCTGTAGTCGAGCTTGGTTCTCCTGCAGGGTCTCAACGATGAACTTCAGCTCTTCCACTTCAGGACTTCTGTTACATATAACCTGAGGAGAGAGCATATGTCACGGGCAAAGCAAATACACCAACTTCAGAATGCCTGTGCTGACTTGCAGTTCAGCCTAAGTTCCTCTTTAAAGAAGGGGAGACACTGCTCAGTTCAGAGACCCGGGCGGATGGCTCTGAGACCAAGCTCACTGGGCATCTGTTCTGTGATGCTCTCAGCAAATGGCCGCAAGGGACTTGAAAAACACTCCAGATAGCTACGGTCCAACTACGCCAGGCTAACACACAGGTCAAAATGACCAGCCCTGGGGCAGGCACTGCCACGATTCCAGTCTGCTCTCACACCAGGACAGACCCCATTGCACTGCCTGTCTGATCTGTCACTCAATAACACTCAGCTCACTGCTGCGGTGTAGACATTATCTCTCTGAATGTCCTGAAGGAGCACTTAAGATTTTAAGCTTCCTTCTAGTACTTTAAGAAGAATAAAGGTGAGAACTTACATTCACCAAGATGTGGAAACCACAGCCAGCCTCTCCAAGCCTGGCACCAGCACTGCAGCCCCAGCACTTCTCATAGGTGCTCTCCCATTTAATCCTCAACAGTTACAGCAAGAGCCAGTATTGCTCTCGCTTTCATGATAGCCCATTTGAAACTGAGAGATGAAATATCTTTCGAAACCAATGAGCTATTATGTGAGGAATCAGGACTGAAATTTGCGCCACTATGACTCTAAACGCCTTTCTCCTTAGATTATGCACCACTAGTAGAGGCTGAACAATAAAGAATTCAAGTCAATCTGCTTTCTGGCTAACACTTTTCAATACATTTGCGGTAGTCTATTTTGCTTCCTAAGAAAGTGGGTTGAAGCTACAGCTCTTAATTTCATTAGACCGACTTAAAAATGACATGGACGCAAACCCAACTGTGGCCCACAGTAAGGGCAACGGCAGGAAACCTGACTGGTGTTCAGTTTGGACTTTGGTAGGTACAATGGTGGGTATCAATCATACACGTTAGCATGTGTGGGCACAGTACTTTCCTTCAGCAAGAGAAAATGTAAAGGAGCCCTGGTGGTGTGGGGTCATGCGAGGGGCTGCTATAGAACAGCACCGGCTGAGAATTTTTATAGAAGCAAGCTGACACACGCTTCTCCAGGCGAGGGGTTGGCGGACTCACACCACTCGCCTTTCTGTTAGCAGCTGTGACCTTGAAAACTGAGCCGTCTGATAAAAGGGCCTTCCGAGAAAAGAAACAACTATTCATTTACACAGCAACATGGATAAATCTCCAATGCATATGTCAGAGGGCTTGATAGGGCATCTGTGGAAAAGGGAAAGCAACACAGGTTTGCAGAGCAGAATGGCCCGGCAGCGGCTGAGAGGAGGACAGGAAAGCACACTGCACCAAACACCGTGTGGGAGCGCTGGGGCCGTTCCGTCCTGACGTGCATGTGTCAG